AAATCCAGATCTAAAGTTTTGTATTTAAATAAAAGTTCAAAAAATAACTGAAACACCATGTTTTCCTCATCTATATTTTACATTCATGCAGGCTGCCTGCGTGACCAGTAATACCTACAAACTGCTCCTGATCAAGTCATGTTAATTTTATAATAGTGGCACACTGACCCACGCTATCTGTTGCAAATCAGCTGTTCAAAGAGACAGTTTACAAAAGAAACTACTGACTTGCCAAGTGAGAGAATAGGTGTCAATAGTTCACTCAAAATGCATAGTTGTCTCTCACTAGTCTGTGGGCCAGTATTGGTTCAGTAATTTCATAATCCTTCCTCCCTGACATCAAGCAGCAGAAATTATGTGACAATGAGCAAATACTACTGATGGATTTTTGGGTAAATAGAGTAGTCTTACATGTCACTGTTTCTAAAACAGGGCATTTTTCTGGGCTGCGTTAAAAAAGGGCAAAAATTGAGAGTATAGCCACTTCTCCAGGGACTAATACACCACTGCCTGTCACCCAGCCCCACTCATGTCTTTCTCAAAACCTGCCATGAAGAGAAAAGGTTGGCGACGAGCACAGACAATTTCAGGAAAAGTGGGAGAAGGAATATTTTATTGTTGTGCACAGGGGCACCCTGATGTGTTTTATATGCACAGAGAAAGTTGCGGTGCACAAGGAGTACAACATCAGACGTCATTACTCAATGAGACATGCTGAGGAGTATGCCAAATAGCAGGGAGATGAGAGAGAGAACCGGGTCGCCAGTCTTAAAACATGTCTACTGAGGCGACAAGATTTTTTGTGGAGTACTTGATGCGGCCCTGCCTCACCAAGACTCTACCTCCAGCGGCCCCCAGGTAAATTGAGTTTGAGACCCCTGGTCTAGAAGGATCAACCTTCACTGCACCTTAATGTTTGCATGGTTTATGGATATGCCACAATTCTGACAATGGTCCTTCCTGTCACCAGCAGGTGGCGCTGTGATTATGCGTCAAAATTGACATATGGATCTGTTCAGTGCGGGACTGTGATCATGTAATACAATTTTGAGGCGGATTGGACAATGCACAGAGGAGTTATAATAAATATCGTTATGTGGTTAGAATCATCAAGACTTTTAACCCACTAATGGGCTCACATCATGGAGGACCTTGGGAGAGGTTAATAAGATCAGTGAGAAAAGTCCTCAACTCCACCTTGAATGTGCAAAATCTGGATGAAGAGTGCCTACACAGTTCTTTGTGAAGTGGAATTCATCATCAACAGTCGGCCAATTACCAAAGCATCCACAGATCCTAACGACCTGGAAGCACTGACACCAAACCACCTGTTGAATACTTTACCGTCCTTACCATCAGCAGACTTTCAAAAGGCAGACATTTACGCTAGCAGACTATGGAAGCAGGTGCAATACATGTCAGACTTGTTTTGGAAAAGCTGGGCAATAAAGAAGATCTGTCTGCTAAAGGAGGCTGAAGCTGGATGAGGAAGTGCCAGCTGAATGTCATAATGCTTTGAGCTCATTGTCTCATGTCTCCTTCAATATGAATGTGGATAATTATTATGTGTGATAATCTTATAATTAGGAGCTGGTGTGTAGGATTCATAAATAAGTTAAAGAAAGATATTATTTTGTTGTTTAATTGGTTATTTATTGTTTACTCGTGATCCTATTAATTTGGTAGGAAGTAGGTCATGTGGATAGGGGCGGGGGTCATAATTGATTTGAACACCTGTTCACCTGTTTAGGAAGGGAAAGAGGGTGAGCTGGGACGTTGTATTTTTTGTTGACCACGGTGATGGGTGACTGAGAGCTGAGTGCTGTGAAAGAGGAGGTGGGATGGTGTACTGGTGGAGCAGATGAGGGGATGGTGCCAGATCATACCTGTTGAAAAACATGTTCAGGTCATTTGCCTAAAAGCACTCTTTTTCTCCTTGAGGAGGGCTTTTATGTCTTTATGATTAATCCATGGCTTGTTAGAGAAGCACTGTAAAGTCTTGGTGGGTACAGTGTTTTCCACACAGAAGTTGATGTAATCCGTGATGCAGGTAGTTAGGCTGTCGATGTCCTCCCCATGACCCTCGGCTAACACAGCAGTGAAGCACTGTTCTTCAATAGTGATGGGATGTATTAGGTTAGTATCCAAGCTTTTCCTCTATTGTGTGTTTGTTTGTATTTATGAATTCCCTCGCAAGCCAGATCAAACAGTCTTTCCGGACGTTCCCCACCCCTGTTCTAATTTAATCTTTAAAATCCAAACATTCATATTTTACAATTACAAAATGATTAGGACAATTACCAACTGACCTGGAGCTTGAGACCTTCACACCTTTGGGATAAGAACTTTAACACTTACAAATAGGAACACTAAAATTCATTAAAACAAAAACTAGCTCAAACATATAGTGAAACTGGGAATTAAATATTTGAATGCAAATTATTATATATAAATAATTTTAAAAAGTTAACAGTCCTATAAATCATTTATAATGTCTTCATTATCTAGGGAATTAAAGCAACATGAGACACACTTATTAGACTAAAAGTTCACTTTCTGATTACTAGAAATCACACTTGTAACAGAAATCATGGAAAGCATTAGGGATTTGACTAAAGCTGGAAACAAACATGGATGGCCCCACCCACAGGGGTAAAGTCCTGTTATCTCCATCAACCTCTCAGAAAGATTAATTTAATTTACCTTTATCTTTACCTTTGAAACGTCCTATCAGTGTTCAGGCTCTGGGTCAGGTATCTCATCAACCACACTCCACACACTTCAAGTCAGTAACATGTATTGATGAGACATTAATGTGATAAAGAGGGAGAAGAGGAAAGAGAAGTTCCAAGTGTCATGTGTCCCTCGACATTCTAAACCTATAGCAGCATAACTTAGAGCAGATCTAAGACAAGCCTGGACCAGCTCTAACTACAAGCTTTATCTGTCTGCCTCCCAAACTGAAACTGGGAGATGATTCCACAGGAGAGGAGCCTGATAGCTGAAAGTTAGCAAGTAAGCCTGAATTCTGGGAGTGCAGTGTTCTAGTAGGGTGAAGGGCCTTGTGGGTGAGGAGGAGAATATTAGATTCTATTCTCGATTTAACCCGAAGCCATGTGAAGCTAATACAGGAGATGTGTGGTCTCTTTTCCTGGTTCTTGTCAGGACACGTGCTGCAGCATTTTGGGCCACCTGCAGGGTCTTTAACAATTTATTGCTGGAGCCTGATAATAAGGAATCACAATAATCCAATAAATCCTATAAATTTGTTTTAAATGAGAATCAAATCGAATCAAAGATGACTCCCAAATTCCTGACTGTCTCATTGGAAGCAAGGGCAATGTCATCTAGCACAGTTATATCTTTGGATAATGTATCTTTAAGGTGTTTAGGGCCAAGTATTAGAACCTCTGTTTTATCTGAGTTTAATAAGAGAAAATTGTGGGTCATCCAGGTTTTTATGTCCTTGAGACATGCTTGAAGTTTAGTTAATTGATTACACTGTTCTGGTTTTATTGATAAGTATAACTGGGTGTCATCTGCATGACAGTAGAAATTTACAGAGTGTGTCCTGAAAATGATTCCTAGTGGGAGCATATATAATGAGTATAAAATTGGGCCGAGCACAAACCCTGTGGAACACCGTGGTTAACTTTGGTGTGCATAGATGGCTCATCATTAATTTGCACAAATTGGAATTGATCTGAAAAAAAGGATTTAAACCAGTTTAGAGTGTGTGAGGTAAATCTGAAAATACAAGAGGCTGGATTACCAAATTTGTCTTTGTGTATTTATTAGGAGCATTCTGCAGAAAGGATCAACACAGAGAGTCACAGGGATCTCAGAGTGCTGATGGAGAACAGTCAAATGCAAGCATCTTATATAGGAGATCTAAGGCTGTCTGACTGAGCCAGTTAGACTGGTTCAGAATAAGCCCCAGGAGCACGGTAAACTACAGCAAATACGATTGACTGTTGTGATTTCTTGGATGGGTGTGGAAGACAAAGAACAAGACTTTCAAATGAGTTGTAGTTTAGTTTGGGTTTAGGATTAATTGATAGACTGGAGTTAAAAATAGAAGCAACTCCACCTCCTCTACCTGAGTCTCTGGGAATGTGTGAATTTAGGCTATTTCATTTGCTAAAATAGCCTTTGATGATAGTGAAGTTATGTCCACATGTAATTGTGTTTGTTTGTTGTGTTTTTGGAGAGGTTGTGTTAATTTTTATTAGTTTTGAGTTGAATTCAATCTCTACGGGGTTGTGGTTGTGTGACTGATACGGAGGGGGCGCAGAGAAGTGTGTAGGACTGCAGCTCTACGTCCTGGTCCCAACTCTGGATTGTCATTTTATAGACTGAGTTATGTTCCTAGATAAGAGAGCTGCTCCATCCCAAGTGGGATGAACGCCGTCTCTACTAACAACACTAGGTTTCCTCCAAAAAGTTTGCCAATTATCTTCGAAGCTCAAGACGTGTGCAGGCCACCACCTCACCAGCCAGCGGTTAAATGACAACATGCGGCTAAACATGTCATCACCGGTTGTATTAGGAAGTAGTATGCAACAGGATTGTAATAAGACTTATGTTTCTGCACCAGGATGTTTCTGTGGCATAACTGTTTTTCTCACAAACCTACAGGCAAAGGCTTCATCTGCTAGAGTTTCTTTAATCTCAGTCATATTTTTTTTAACTTTCTAGGGTAAATGCCCCAGCAACTGGCCATTACCCATCAGTCGACTCACACATTTGTGAAATGCATCACCTTGTGATGCACGTGGACCCATCATCAGTGATGTCACCTGGGGTCATTGGATGTTTCAGGTTTTTCAACAATTAGACACCCTCACCCAGGAGACCCAACCAAGGTTGATCAAGCCCCTGCTTGTGTCCAGGTAGCGCTACCCCACCCACGGCTCTCCTCTCCTGATCCACTGCCACCTTGATGCAGCTTCTGCTAACTCGGTGGCCACCTTAATGGCCCTTCACCTACTGGGTCCTATGATGCCCAGCATGTTGTAGGCCCTGCAGAGAGACTGGCCTCCGTCCGAATGAGATGCTCACCCCCCCCCCCCCTCGGGCATCCCTGGGGGTGTTTTTCCGTAGTTCGATCTGTAGCTTGCTGTGGGTTCTCCCTAAATAGAATAAAACATATGTTAATGTAATTAGTGATATCCGTGTTCAACTACTATTTCATGTTTAAATGAATGCTGTAAAAAATTTCTACAATTCAGTTGAACTTGAGTTGTTTCAAATGTATATTGTAATTAAACCATAGTGAATTGAAGTCATAAAATAATGATTGATCTGGAGTGTTCAG